TTTTGTTTCTGTTGAAGTTCACAGACAGTATCCCGATGGTAAAAATAAGTCAGTAGAGTCCCTTATGAAATATTTAATAGGCTCTGTCACTGCAGAAGCACCAAGTGAAGGTTCTTGGCTATGCTGAAGGAAAGCACGGATCTACACAACCCACGCAGAAGAACTGAAGAAGTGGTTCTTGTGGTACTCCACAAGTGGTAGAGTCTGATGTGCAGATGCAGTGTAGGTGCAGTTTCCAGTTAGTGCCTATTGGATGCATATCTTCTGGAATGTCTTGAAAATTTTAACATATTACCTTAAATATTCTTATTTCTGGCATATCTGGTAGAGATATGTTGAGGAGGTTATATGTTTATTTCTGTGCCTCTGTAGAGGGAGAACATTGATATCGTTAAAGCACTATCACTTGCATTTTAACTTGAATCCAGATTGTGCTGGATTTTATTTCATTTAAAGCTAATTTCTAACTTGCTAAAGGATATGAAGTGAAACCTCACATGTTTTTTGTTTGCAGCAGTCCTCATAAGATTAGCTTTCTTCAGTATTGGTTCTGCTATTGTGTGTTTGAAGATGTTTGAGATAGTTCTTTGTCCAAAGACAAAGCATTGGCTTATTTCACCTGAGGGGTGATGACAATTTCAGATGCTAAAATTATCAGCACAAGAAGAAAAAGTTTACGAAGATGCTTTTTGATCACTTTGAAAAGATTTAAGAATGAGCAGAGACTGAGGAACTGGATCAAGGGAGTAGGGAGGAGAAAGGAAGGAGCTAATGTCTAAAAGATCAGAAAGTACGAGGGTAAACTGTAGATGTATAAAAGGGGTGATTTGGGATAGTAAAACAAATAATGAAAGATTCTTCAGGCAAAGACAAAGAAGGAAGTGCGATATACGACTTCTCTGTTACGCAAAGGGAATTGGGATGTGTTTTAATGGTAATCGAAGTAGGATCCAAAGGATAATGATGTTTATTGTGAGGCCAGAAACAGGGGATAATAGAATGAGGATATGGAAGAGATAGATACCATCAATTCAAGGTGGTTATTGCGTTCAAATCAACATGGAGGGGACAGAGGAAGACAGCAGATGCGTGCTGGAGCTATATTCATCCACATCTTTCAGGACCTGGCCTGTAATGTTACAGACCTATTGTTGTTCTTCTCTTGATGAAGTTGTTACAGGATGGCAGTTGAAGCTATTGCAGATGAGGGAACAGCAAGTCTTGCATGTAGCTTGAAGAGTAATCTAATCAAGTACAGTCTTTCAGTGGCAAAAACCTAATTGCTTCTAGAATGGAAAAAGTACATTATCTTCTGTGACAATAGAAGACTTGGGCTGATGATTCAGGAAGTGTTTCTAGTTCAGCATTCCTTTTGCACAGCTTCTGGGTGTGTGAATGAACTGAACTGAAGTAATTCACATAGGCGCTGCAGGTGGGATAGGATCAGGTTTTTAGCAACTTCTTGTGCTTCAGCCTGTAGACAGTCAAGTGAAGCATGGGTTCTGCCTCGGATAGCTCCATGGGGCTGGGACCAGCCGTTCCAGGGGCTGCTGAGAAGTCCCTGTGAACCTATGATACACCTTAGGTGACCATCTGGAGGACCTGCTTTTCTGTCATCCTGTCGCTAAGTCTTTGCATGTGCTCAGATGCTTATCCTTTCTTTCTCCAGCTGATGGGCAAAATCAGAGTTTAAGGTTGTAAGTCAGAGTTTAAGGTTGTAAGGGTTCTGGGTTAGTTTTGTTTGGAAGCCAGAATTTTAATAGCCTATGTAGCCAGGATATATTGATATAGCAGATACTCAGCTGTTTCTTTTGTGTCTGGTTTAAACTTTGAGATGGAGAGACTGTGAAAATGCTCCTTAGTGGTTTCTCTGAGACAGTGGATTCATGGGCTGGTCCTCTGTTAAAATCTTGCTAACAAGTGTAACTTGTCACCTGTGTAGGTTGAACTAAATGACCTGCCTTTAAATTTTTCTTGAAAATTACTAGCAACTCATCTCTCTTTGAATCACTTTAGTGCTAGAGACTTCCATGTGGTCAAATTCTAACTTGTGTATCTGGTGTTATCATAGCAGAAATCCCGAGGAGCTTAGGATTTTTAGATGCATCTTTTTCATCAAGATGATGGGGCCATTAGCTGTGGGTCTTTGACCGTGTTTATGTTCATGCCTCCCAAGTCCCCAGGTCTTAGGGCAGTTAAGCTGGTCAAACCCTCAGGGTTCTAGCACTGATATTGGAAAGACCAAGCAGCCAGTGCTCTTTGTATCACTCAGTGACAGCGTTCTGTCAGCTAAAGCGCCCTCTTTGGTCACCACTACGACATCCACGAAGCTAGCATTGATGCTGCTTGCTCTGATTCTGGATTTGCATTGTACCCTGTGAAGACCAGGTTTTTTGAATGAGCTCGGAATACGCTTTTTCCTGCTTCAAAGAAAGTCTTACCATTCCAGCCAAAACCATAAAATTGTGGAAAAAAAAAGTTACAACCCAAGAATACAGAGTACCAAGGACTTTAATAAAATATATCCCATAAAAAGTAGGCGTTTTGTTTCCCCCCATCTGGAATGACAAGATCTTGAAGCAAACAAATGTTCCTTGGTCAGGTGGATTAAGTTATATATTACAAAGACATGAAGAGCATGAAATAAATCTGTTTCTGCAGAATTTTGCTCCTGATGCTGCAGAAAGAAAAGCCTGTACTTCCACTGTAGAAGTCTTCAAGGATGTAACATCTGAACTTTTATGAAGATGGATTTTCTGTCCTCTATAGAGGCCTCCTTCAGCAAGAAGTCCTTCGCTCAGTGGTCTAAAAATAACGTGTTTTTCAGGCATTTACTCTCAAGGGGAGAATTCTGTATTTTGGACTGTTTTCTTTGTCTCTCCCTACTTAATTTTCACTGGCAATTATTTTCCATGAGTCACAGGAATGTGAGAGATGTGTGACTGTAGGACGGAAAATTTCTTATCTGATTAATTTTTTGTATGTAACAGCAGTATGTATCTCAATCTTATTCTCTCCAGCGTAGCAGCGAAGAAAAATGTAATTTCTGTCCATTCATTTTATAGACAGCTGCACATAGCTCACGTGATTGGCAGTAGGGTACTTCTACTAATCTATAGTGTTGAAAGTTTGGCACAGCATTGAATGGCTCTTCTGAGGTAAAGCTGAAGAGGAGGATACATTGTGGTGCTGATCCATCTCTGGAACTGTAAAGAGGTGGAAAGAGTCTGGTGCCCAATACAATAGTGAGAGGTGTGGCTAGCAGAAAAAACATTGGTAAGACATTTTCAATGCCTGAACCAGTACTTTTAAGTAACAGTCACCTTGCACGCTGGCATCTTGAGGATTATTATTTCCTTTACACCAGTGCATTTAACTTCCCAGTTAGTTGCCCTATAAGGATGCTTGCTTGATTTAGCATTTAACTTTTGCACTGCCTATTTTATGTGTCATTAATTTCTTTATTCTGATGCTAAAGAAACAGACGAGGATTTATAACTTTAAAAAATCAGTTTGAAAGGCAGTTAATACCTCCAGCATCTTATTTGCACTATATCCTATACCTATCTTACCTTGACATTGCTAACAAATTTTAATCCGTTAAGCAAAGTATGTAGTGTTAAAGTTAAAATTCCTCAATAGTTTTCTGCTCTTTGAAGATTCTGTCTGCTGCAGCTTCCATTTTGTATTGTTGTGCTTTTAGCGATTTTTGAAGTTAGTGTCTCAGGTTTACATACCAAACCATAGCATAATAGACATCAGTGGTTATGTCTAAGGCAGTTACTTGAAATTATTGAATGCATTATCACTAGGGTGTTTCCATACTCTGTGTGCCAGAGGCAGCGCAGAGTTTGTTACCTGTTGAATTTCATAACTTACACGAGCACAAAAGCTGGCATGTACTAGACAGTGTGCCTCAGCCAAGCAAGCACTTGAAAGACTTGGGTCTGGTCTTGGTGCTATCGTTGGTTTATTGAATGATGCTTGGGAGATCATAAAAACAGCTGCACTGTGTCAGTTGAAAGGTCTGTCTAGGCATTATCCTGTCCCTCCGATGGCTAATGTAAGCAGTTACTTCATCTTCTTAGGCTGTTATTTTCTCTTTTGTAAAATGAGAACAATTATAGTGATGTATTACGTGATTTAGACCTCCGCTAATAAATAGGCACTAGATTTCAGGTAGTTTAAATACGTTATATTCTGTAAATAGCCTGCGTAATAGTTACAGTATTTATCTATTAATGCATTTAATACATTAGAGAGTCCTTTCTAGTTTACTTGAGGGAGGATCAGATTATTGAAGAATACATCTGTCATTGTGAGGATTTGGAATTATGACTGCATGGCTAATGCAAAAAGGTAAATTAATGTGAACAGAAAAAAAGAATTCATGTATGCGGATTATATACAGATTTCACATGTAAACCCTAGTCACTGAATAATTGTGCTCAGTACTGATAATTGCTTATTTTAGTTATGCTTTGTAAGCAGTGTTTTAGTTCTTGGATCATATTGTTTCTATTAGTGCTCTTAAAAATGAATGAGTTGTACGAGTGGTTTGTTGTGACAGTCGTCGTCGTAGTAGTAGGTTGATCCTTGATTGGTATTGTTTTGGTGGATAGTGTTTGCCTAGCTTACAACTTCTGCTTTTCATCGTTTGTAGAGTTCTGAGGATATCTAACTGAGCAATGTAACTCTTGAGTCAATACTTTTGTAGGCGACTTTATGAAAAACAAAAATTACATTATTTTTCTGACAATTTAATGAAGGACTTGGTAAGCGTAGTGTTCTGAGAGCTCTTGACTGCATAAAACCCTAGAGTTGTGCAGCAAAGATATTCAGGTATGTCTTGAAATATAGTGTATAATGCAACCTGAACTTGTCTGAAGCCCCAATTGTTAGCTGTTGTTGTATTCATTTAATTTTCAGTATTTAATTCTTAACTGTGATATCTCTCTGTAAAAATTACTTTGTTCCTAATGTTTAAAATCTGTTTCCAGGCTGCAAGCTGCTATATAAACAAGACTTTGCAAGACGGTTAGGACTGAGATGTGTTACTTGTAATTACTGCTCACAGCTGTGCAAAAAGGGAGCAACTAAAGAACTTGATGGTGTAGTGAGAGATTTCTGCAGTGAAGAGTGCTGTAAAAAATTTCAGGACTGGTACTACAAGGCAAGTAACTCAGAATTTTTGACAAGAGCTCCAAAGTTAAAAAAGACAAAAAAGCACATGTGAGGATATCTCAAGGACTGTGCAGCAAATATGGCTTACTTCAGCACAGCGTTTGCTACACAATAAGCAAATATTAATTTCTTCATTTGAGTTTTCCTAGAACTTAGAGCAGCGTTTCTACCATCTGATTTATTAAATTATTTGGCAAGGAAGTCTTGAGTTACAGCAAAACAAGAAACTACTTATATATTTGTTGCTTTACAATTCTGATTTTTTCCTCAATTGATAGTGTGTTTTTTCCTATGAAAATTACTTTAATGTGTATTCAGAATGCTGAAAACGCTGTTAATAGCAGCTAGATGATACTGTGAGTTGACTGATGATAGATTAGGTTAGCAGAGTGGTTTTTTTTTTTCTTTGTTCCTGTTTTTGCCTCCTTTCTTGCCTTTTCCCTTCTCCCACAGTTTGAACTGCAGAGGCTTTGATTGTTCAGTATTTCCCAGTGGAAAGGATGCCAAAGGGAAAAAGCAAGACCAAATGGATTTCTAATAAAAGTTTAAATCAAATGTGATGGCATCTGTTTCTAAATCTCTGGAAGTTTAATACCTTGTGAAGCACAACCAGCAAAGAGTTCATGTTAAGAGTTTTTTTTTTGTTGTTGTTTTCGTTTTTTGAAAGAAATAAAGGTGAAATTGGACTGGGTTTAACCTGCGATTAGTACCATGGATAAAATATTTGGCCTCTGATGTGAACATCCTGGAAAACTACATTGATAATGCCAAAACAAGAGCTACACTTGCGGATGCAAATGCAAAAAAGACAGTACAAAATTCATCACCTAACCAAAACTGTACGCAGCCTGGAAGGCAATAAAAACCTTGAAATATTAGAGGGCTAGATACAAGTCCTGTAATTCAAGATGACCTACCTACCATAAAAGAACTGTATCTGAAGACACATTTGATATTTTGGAATTGCAGGTTCCAGAAGTTTTACAGCCAGATATTGTAAAGTCTTCATTTTGAATAATGTATGCAGGGTCCTGTTAGAAATTCCTGAATGAAAACTACTGAAGACCAGAATGTATTTCTTCTGTCTCATGTGAAAATAGGGTGACAAAACTTGGCTGCAAAGTTCTTAAACTTACTGAAATGTTACGTCATAGAATAATATTTAATCAATATGCCTTAAAACTCGGGGTATGAGGTGAAATTTATTCCTGGATTAAAAAGTGCCTTCTGCTAGAGAACCTAATAAAGCTTTCGCGTGCTTGAGAACTCTCTTGGTTATTCAGCAAAGAATACAGTTTGGGGGGGTGGGGGGGAGGGGAGGGGGGTCATGTACCAAACTGGCTTTATATACCTAAATTTCCATGGAAGTTGGGACTCTGATTCAGGTTTGGGGAAACACTGGAAAACTCTGACTTCAGATTATCCCCCTCATCCTGTGGGATAAGGCAATAACTTCCTTGGCCTATTAAATCTGCTGAAGAAATGTTGTTGGTACTGTGGTACAGGAAACTTAAAAATGATGCTGTGAAAAGGCAATTTAATCTAAGCAGACTTACCAGTAACTAGTGAGTTTTCATACTTTTGATGATACTGAAGTGTTAGATATTTTTACTTCTTGATTCTTAAGCTTGCAAGTGAAACTAGTGTTATGTGATGTTATTGAATTGTTGATTGACCTTTTTTTTTTCAAATACTTCTTAAATTCTTTTCCTAATTCAGCTGTAGCTATAAAAGTTTGGGATTTATTACATGGAGAAGACATGTAATAGGTTTTGGGAAATCTGTGTATTTTGCTAAAATTGTCTTTCTGTCCATTCTTGCTGATAACTCCCTCTTCCCCCCTCCCCCCTTTTTAAAAGTCACTCCAAATACCTTAGCTTTGATAGTGCATCGTTAGTTAACGTTCTTCCATAGCCATAAATAAATAATGATCAAAATACAGGAAAAGAGTAGATACTCACCCCTCCCTCAATTTGTACTTCATTTGCTGTTTTGTCTGTTAGCTTCTTAAAAGAATAGTTACATATGTATGAGCTTTGTCTCATTTATGCAATGTCCCATGTTATACTGGAGTTTCAATAAATGTATACATTAAGAGAAATAATTAGTAATAACCTAGTAATGTTTTAACACCAGCATTGTGTTCATTAAACAAGTGTTTGTCTTCATCTTCTTTGTCTACTTTTTTTTATGGACACATTTTTCTTGTGTAGTATTCTCTGGAAAGCAAAAAAAAAAAAAAAAAATTATGAGAGGGCTTCCCTGAAGGCCAAAATTCTCTACTCGAAGTCAGGGAAAGGTAGCAGTGGTAGAAGTCTATCAGACTCTTAACTAGAAGTACCTCCGAGGGATTGCAACGTAAAAGAATAGTTCAGTCCTGATCCTCCGGTGGATGACTGCTAAAGTTGTAAATTGGTGCCAAATTCTGAGCAAGTTTATGCAATATGATGTCCATTCACTCCTCAGAAGAGACGTAAAAGTTTTGGTGTATAGAGGCTAGCTTCCTAAGTGATCAGAGCTCCTCCTGTAAACTTAAATTGCATGCCATGGTTTGGATGCTAACGTGAAAACTGACTGAGGAATTTCAATATGGTATTTGGTTACGGTTTTGATAATTTGACATTACTTTATACTAGAACATTGAATGTACTTTGAAAACGAGTATACAATTCTGAGATAACAATACAGAAAACTGTTTCTTTATGTTTACATTGTTAACCATTGTTGAAAATGCAGCTGAAGTGTGCGTGTAGAAGGTGATTCAAGTCTTCAGTGGATTATTGATTGGACTAAGCATGTATGGTGATAACAGTGTGTGCAGCAAAGGTCAGATGTCTTCAGCTAAGACTAAGTAGGGGGCGGGGAACTGCAGTCAAAGGCATAGAAAATTATGGTGGATGGTGAGCTGCAGATAACAATGGTTGTCAGCCATGGCAAAATTTTTGAGACAATGGTGAAGGCAGCAAGACAACCAGCTGGAGCTTCTCTTGCCTAAATTTTTAACCACTGTATAGTTAGATACCTTAGTTTCAAGTGGGTACACATTCAGAACCACTGATCTCCTCTCTCTTTCAATGAATCACCCTCTGGAAATGCATCTCGCTTCCTATTTTTTGCAGATGGAACAAAAGTAGCTCAGAATAGACAGCAAGATAAGGTCAAATTAATGCCATTCCAAATTACTGGAGAACACTGGGACAGGTTTGTGGAGGATTGAAAATGTATATAAAAAAAGCCCCACACCTGAAAACTTTTTTTTAAATCAAGCTGAGAAAAAAAGATAGTTTGGGGAAAACATTTGTGATTTATACATGTGAGATGGGCACTAGCAATCTGATCATGCTTGAGTCAGAGTGGGGAAAAGAATGCGCAAGTGGAGCGTGCGGAGTACTGACAGACTTCTTCAAATATAGTAATACAGCAGACTTGCACGTGGGAATCTTGGAGATTCTATTAACGTATAATGCTGATCCCCCCCCCCCCGAAAAAATCCCCCCCCCCCCCGAAAAAAAAAAAACAGGGAAGGGGGAAGGAAGATAAAACAGGAAATTGTGAATTCATGCTTTTGGCTTTAGTAATTTTGTGGTAAAGTAAGGGCAAGAGTGAATGGGTAGGAGGAAACTTTAATGCATGGAAGGGTATATGGTATTGACTGTAAATATGATTATGGAAATACTTAGCAGCAAATGCAGGGATGAAAACTGAAGCATCCTTCTAGAGGAATCTAGGGATAGAGCTGGAGCTCTTGTTAAGGAATAGATTCACCAAGTAGAAGAAAACCAAAATTTTATCATCTAGGTATCTCAATAGCAGCCTAGGAGAAACAAGAAGCCATTTAATCAAAGGCTTAACTGAAAGAGCAGAGCCAGGAGGGAGAGGAAGAAATCAGTTTTTTTTATGCTGTTGTTGCTGTATTTTGCAAGATTTAGCACCTTTTTCTTTGAAGGAGAGAGAAAACTGAGCCATCACAGCCTTTGATAGTCAAGCTGTGTGTAGCAGTTCAGAGTAGGTGGGCTTCTCTGTACGTGAGTCACCTGTCATTCTCAATGATTTGTGTTGGATGAGATATAAAGCCTTTTTTAAAGAGAGAGAGGGAGGTACAGTTTTTGTACTGGCATTTCAGCCTTTTTGTTGGCTTTGGAAGAAGCATTTGCACTGAAGGTGTGAATTCACAGTTTCCCTGAACTGATAAATTGGGGCTATTTTGGCAACAGCCCTCACTTTCCATCTTCCTCCCCGCTCACTTCCAAGAGTACAACTAGCTTGTTCTCAGCAGGACAAGAGAGTATTAGTGCTGCGCAGCGAGTTGCAGAGCAGCTTCAGCTGAAAGCCAACCTGGCAAATTAACAAAAAGTAAGGGAGGATGGGAGGGGAATGCAGCCCTGTAAGGTTTCTGACCTTCTATACCATGTGGGCACATGAGAACTAGTGCTGACACCCGCACAAAGTGGAGGGGGGGGAGGGGTTGCAAGAGGCTGTAGCTGCCCTTTCTGTAGCGTCCAGCACTTAGCATGAGGTGATCCTGCAGCCGCAGCCTGAATTGCTGCCAGAAAAGTCAAAACATTTTCATTTAAAAGAAATACTTTTTTTTTTTTAAAGCTACTGCGTAATGTTGGATGCAAGTGTAGTCATCTTAAATACTTGAAAATTGTGACTGAGAGCTGAATTTCCTACGTTGCCAAAGAGTGATGCCAGGCCGTTCAAGTTCAGAGAAGGAACTCAGCGTTTGATTGCTTTTTTTGCTTGCACTAATTGGCCTGATGATGGGTTTTTTGGGGGGATTGTGAGAACTGCCATTGATCCGTTTTTCAGCCGACAGAGCCTTGTACATACCTGTAACATTGTGTATGGTTTTACCCACTAATGTTTTATGTCACATACGATCGTAATTTCCCTCTCCTGGCTGTACCATTAGGTTGACTTATTTTGGATTCCATAAGCATCCATAAAATTTTTATTTTTATTTCTTATAAAGAAAGACTTATAAAGAAAGACTTATAAAGACTGGTTTGGGATGGAGGTTGCAAGCAAATATCAAGAGGAACAATAGTGCAAAGACCGTTTCTTTGCTTACTGAAAATCTGAAAGCGGGGCTCTTAGTGTTGAGATAACTTATAGCGTGACTGATAGAATCAGTGGAATCTACGTAGTAGAACACTCTGCTAATGCTACCTCATGAGATTGCCACGTAGTATGTTGAAAGATATATCGCTTAAATGTATAGCCAAGAATACAGAAGAACAAAATTTTAAGTTTTACATTTGTATTAACTACGTATTGTGGAATCCTGATCAGAAACAAGAAGAGCTATTTTTGTTGTTTATGTATCACAGAAAAATTTTGAGGAACTAATTAATAATTGGAACCTAAAATTGCTGTCAAACTGTAGTAACAGAATAGAAAAGTTATTTGCACTATAGAGCCCTGATCTAGAGATGTGATGATTGGCGACTTTAAAGAAGCAAACAAACTTTGAGGGGGAAAAAAATCCCTGCTCGTCCTGGCTTCAGGAGAGTCATTAAGGAGTCTCAGTTACTTTCCGCTCTTGCTTTGCAGAATTTTTCAGTGGACTTAACTAAAATTGTTGCATAGAATTCATGTTCTTTTGCTGTATGTGTAGAAACGAGCAATTTTTAAGGACTTAAGGTTTCAGAGAAGTAAAGTTTATTGATTCTGTCTCCCCCATAACCCCCAGCAAACAGCTGAAAGTAAAGTGGCTAATGTGTCTGCATACAAAGGTTAGAAGGTAGAATAAATATCATAGAGCCTACATGAGTGAGACTTAATTGTTTAGCTGTGATTCTTCAGTGCTTTTACAAACATAATCTGTTAAAATTTAAAAATCATTTTTTTCAAAGGCTTATTTAAAATGTCAAAATGTTCCTTTGCATTAAGGCTGCACGATGTGACTGTTGTAAGTCTCAAGGAAGTCTCAAAGAGAAAGTGCAGTGGCGTGGAGAAATGAAGCACTTTTGTGATCAGCACTGTTTGCTGCGTTTCTACTGTCAACAAAATGAACCAAATCTGGCAACGCAAAAAGGACCTGAGAACTTACAGTACGGTATGTGCTGCTTTATGGTTGCTAAATGGCAAATAAAGTGCTTCCTTTAAAAGAAAAATGAAAAGGTGCTTGCATTATTTATCTGTTGTAATGAACTTGTTCATGTCAGACTGCCCCCCCCCACTTTTTAAACCATTAAGGGCATCATGTATTCAAGCGTGTGGTATTTTTTTCATCTTAGCTTTCTATTTTATTGTTCTTTTAAGAGATGAAGCACTATCAGATAATGAAATGCTTTTGTAATCACTTTTTAAAAATAAATCTTCTTTTTAGGTTAAGTGTAATGGGGCCAGAAAATGTTTTCCCCTTTCATTGTGCTCCAGATTTGCTCTGTGGAAATGTTTCTTTTCCAGATGTGTTTTAGTCCCAGAGAACAGAGGGACGGGCTAGGAGTTAAAAGGAAACAAAGAAATGTGCTAAATGAAAATGGAAATTGAAGCATCTAGATAATAGGAATGCATTGCTTTTTTGCTCAGTTGGCAATAGGTAGCTTATACATTTTCTGATGGGGCAGAATGCACGTTTGCATGCTTCTTAGGGATCTAAATGGCATGTCAGCATGGAAAGTTCAAATAAATCAGTCTTTTAATTAGTGTAATTAAATCAACACAATTCTTTGTGCAGATACTTCCATATTTGGACAGTTTAGTATTTACTTTTCTAAAACAGATTATATTTGCATCTGGATATAGCTTTGCTTGAGCTTTTGGAGTTTGTGTAAGGTTCAATGCCTGAGGAGTGACGTGCCTATGAATGAGAAATGTCACTTCTCCCTTGAAGCACTACTGTGATAGAGTAGTGATCAGTGCTGTTAATTTAACATTAGTTTGACGTTGTCCGAGTTACTTATCAAAAATTGCTTTGATTCTGAAAAAGGGAAACATTTAATTTTCTAAAAAGATTCTTTTTACATTTTTAGATCAGGGCTGTCAAACCACCCGAACAAAACTAACGGTAAGTATATATAATACGTAATGTAATTAGCATGTAAGATGTGACATCCTGGTAGCTTAAAGGGATGCTATTAAAAAAGTAATACTTTTTGTATGATAAAAATACTGATCTGAGTTTGTGGAGTTATTAAATCTGTATCACATCAATAGCGGAAATTAACTTACTTTTAAAAATCATGTTCATATTTTGTCTTTTCAAATGTCTTCTGGGAAAAGAGATCAGCAGCCAATGTATTTTATGTTTAGTGCATGAAAGTATTGCTTAAACATTAATCCACAAAGCATGTATATCTTTTTTATGTGTTTAAACTGATTAGGTATATTTATTGAATGTAGAAAGGGAAGATAATTTCACTGAGTTACTAGCATTTTAAAATTGTATCTCAGCTTTGAAAGGCCAAAAATAAAGCTTCAGATCTTAAATTATTATTCTCAAGGGTAAAATAATTGATGCTCAAAGTCTGATCGACTTTGCTGCAAGTGGCAGAGTAGTGAAGCATAACCTTGTGCAGGACTGATGTCTGTGAGGGTGGAGATATGAGTGGAGCAGCAGCCTTAATTTTGAGTTAATCAGTTTTTGTCAGCTTGTCGTAAATAGTATTATCAATAATCATTTATTCCTTTAGCTTAGTGTATTTTATTTGAAACTTAGTTTTATTCTGTCTGCCACGTGAAAGATCTGAGAAACATCTATTTTTCAATGAAAAATTTGATTGACTCCCTTTTTAAATGAAAATATGTCTAGGCTTCTCTAAGATAAATCTCAGGTTTAAACAGAAGTATTGTGATGATACGGTAAAAAATGTATTAATGAAAAACACAGGAAATAAGATTGCTTAGGTAATTGGAGATGTTAAACAAGCTAAGCCAGCACGTTAGAAACATGTAGTATTTTATGTTTAATAGCTTCTAAGGATGTTAATTCAGTTCACAATTGTTTAACGGTCATATAAAACCTATTTGTGACACAAATTTCCTACATTTTAAAAAGTGTACTGCCTGTCAAATAAAATCCTCTGCTGCTCTTGCTACTTTACTTTCTTTCCGTATTTAACAGCGTGTGGGGGGCCAATTGTATTACATATGACCAAATACAGGTGAAAGTCTCTGTTTCTTAAATCAGGTTCTAAAGCAGGTGTTAGAGGACAAAATATGTTCAGAATAAGTTCTTCTTACCTATTTGTTGTAGAACGCACCTCGAGTTAAGTGTTGTTGAAGTGACGTCAAGTATCCAAGTATATGTTGATAGTATTGTGGAGCCAGCAGGGGGAGCCGAGAGTTCACGCGTTAGGTATTGAGAAGAAATTTTGGTAGCTATAACGCTCTATTTAGAAATATATTTAAAAAGAAAAGAAGTTTTGGATCATAGCACGCTTCAGGAAAGTCAGACTTTGAGCCAAAAGTTTGTAGTTACATTGTTTACAATGAAATTTGTTAAAGTTAAAAGTATTTTTTTTAAGTTATGGAGCAGCTTAAGATGTACTTTCATGTAAACAAGAGTGCAAAAAACAGCATCTTACATTTAAACTAAAATCTGAGGCAAATGAGCAAAATGCAGATACATTACATTCCTGACAGTGGAAGCTCATTGCTAGAAATGCAAAATAGGTTGTAACTAAAGAATAATGGTGCTGCTATGTGCTGTGAGCTTCCTCTTCAAGATCTCATCCTTGAAAAATATCAACTGATGTATAAAATTGAAACTTTGGGTTGAAATCAGTCATGGCGCAACAACAACTTCTCTTTTATTTGCTTGTGTGTAGGGCTCAGCACCACCACCTTCTCCTACACCTAATAGAGAAATGAAGAACAAGGCAGTTCTTTGCAAACCTTTGACAATGACAAAAGCCACATACTGTAAACCTCATATGCAGACAAAATCTTGTCAGACAGGTAACTGTTGAATTGTACTAAAACCACTTTTTTTTTTTTCATTGCAGACTTTTCTTTTAATTGTTACTGTCTTGGAACATATTGCAAACATATTGATTTTTTTTCCCTAAACTGCAGGTGTAAAATATATTTAAGTACCTGGCAGTGTTTGCCTTTTTCTTTTTTCTTTTAATAGAAGATGATTGGAAAAAAGAGTGTGTCCCAGTGCCTATTCCTGTTCCTGTTTATGTTCCGGTGCCTATGAACATGTATAGTCAAAATGTTCCTGTTCCTACAACAGTTCCTGTTCCTGTAAGTCAGACTTCAGTTTTATTTTTAAATTGGCATCCATGCACATGCATGTGAGGGACTGCTTGGTGTTGTGGACTATTCTTATTCTGGTCCATCTAAATGTTTGCAGGATGCTGCAGCACTGTTTATTGATATAGAATCAGAAATCTCGCAGAGGCACTTAATTTCCTAATTGGTTTTTAGGATCTCTCTGCCTGCTTTCAGCATGATAATCTTTTGCTGCTGAATTTTTAGAAACGCTTCTGAGTGGGTTTTTTGTATGATGAATGTGTGTTAAACAGCAAGATTTGTTCTGGTAGTGGGGAAACTGAAGGGTTGTCTTGAAAGTGGATGGCAGAGTGGGATAACCAGAAGGAAGAAAGGCAAGAAAAGAACCTTATGCTGATGAAAAAAAAAAAACACCTCTAAGTTAAATTTGTTGTCACTTGCATAGCATATCACGTCTGAGTGATGAAAAAAACGTCCTGAATTCCTAAAATTCTGTATTTGACAAGCAAGCCACCGTAAAAGCAGTATGATGAATTTGTCCAAACTGTTAGCCCAGAGTTATGTCAGATTGAGGTTTAAAGCGCAGGAGCCCCTTCCATTCTTACTTTGATTCACTACGTTTTGTCATATTTCTTGCCCCCCCCACCCCCACCCAAGTCTATTTTCCCTTCTGTTCTGAACAATTTATATTGAATCATTTAACCCGTCAGCAATTTTTTGTTAGCCCATGCTTAGATGATGTGCTTCTAATCTGTGTTAACTTTTAAAAGGAGGCATGTATAACTGGTGTTTCTGTGTTGATTGCTGTTGTTGCCTTTTTGCAGTGTTTTTTTTTTTTTTTTCCTTTTCTAACCATGTATTCCTCCCTGCCTACCTAGGTGCCAGTTCCAGTTTTCTTGCCCACTACTCTGGATAGCAGTGAGAAAATCCTTGCAGCAATTGAAGAGCTGAGGGGGAAAGTGTCCTCAAATCCTCTGGAAACTGAGCTATTGTCCTTGTCAGGGGCGGTACCTGAAGAAGATGGAAAAACAGAATCTTCTGATGTGACCAGTGAGTTTGTCTTTGACTCTTTGGAGTGTTGGGATGTATGTTAGTATGTGGGTATAAAAAGAAAGCTTATGATATTAGGAAAAGATTTCTTCTGGTACAACAGTGCTATTACTGAATTCTGATATTAACTTGAAATCTTAAGTATTTAAACATTTTCTAGACCATGTCAGCATATTTGAAAAGTAGAAAACTTTTTGAAGTCAGTTGTGTGACTTTGGTCTGCTGTACCCGACCTTGCTCTTTAAAAATATGGGCATTCCCTTTGTGTGCTCTGGCTGCGCAGCTGATGGCAAGCAGTCATTCACAATTATACTCAGGATTTCTTCTCAGTGTCACTCAAAAGAATCCGAAACCAAACCAGTCTTCCTCCCTGAAAAGCTCACATCAAAACGTTAGGCAAAATGATCTCCACAGCTGTGTCTTACCTTTGTGAACACAGCTTCTTCTGAACAAGATGGGATGTGACAGTAGCCTATACTCTTTGTAGTAATACTTTACTAGGCACATTTTACATTGTCTGTGGGGAAGCAGGGGCTGTTAAAACTCAGAGAAACATCCATTTCATGACTAGAACCGTGGTCAGCAAAATCAGGTGACCTAACGATGCTTTGGCTGTTGAGTTGTCTAAAGATCCTCACCTGCAAGTGTCATTTCTTTGAAGAAGATAATGCATCAGTTGATACGTTATTGTGATGTTGAAATGATTTGTTGTTCCACCAGCCTACCTGAAAGAAGAGAACTCTTTCTCAGACAGCTTTACAGGTGAAGATCTAAAAATTCTAAATATCCTGCAGTGATATTTCTCCAGTGCACATACCTCTCTCTGTCTCTGTTTCCCAGCTGTGTCAGTCAAAATGCTTAAGCCTCTTCTGTATCTTGCCAGGAAAATTTCCCTTCTCTTTCAAAAATTAGATTTTAAGGTTTTTCCATGGCTAAGGTGAAGCTTTTTTCAGACTCTTTCAACAGATCTCTCAAAGGATGTTGAAAAATGACATGAACTTATGCCATAGGCTTGGTATACAGGCGGCCAGCAGTGGTTCAGCAATTGCTCCTCCCTCGAGGCTTATTGTTCCCCAAGTTGTCACCATTCCCCACCAAAGCTGGACGTTTCTGGCAGCACAGTAAGGCTGTCATTTGCAACTCCTTGCACTCTTTTGCTAAGTACGGTTAGCTGAATGAGCACATGTATGGGATCAAAGCTGGCTCTTTTGCAGAGAACTGAATTTGGAGAACGCTGCCCTTCCCAGAGGTAGGAAAAAGGTCAAGCTTTTGTTTCTCTTGACCTGCCTTCCTTGCTTGCTTTCATAGGATCTCTTTCACAGATTTGAAAGTCTGTTTTGTTGCAGGCAGAGTCATGTAGCATTTCAAGCTAGTTTGTATTCTCTGATTGGTTAACATGATCCAGATTCCCCTGTATTTGATTTTCTGCACGCACACTTTGCTGAGAGACTCATCAAAATGAAGAAAAGCAAATGGGCTAATAAGTATCTTTTTATTTAAAAGATATCAGATGGCAGAAGTAAATGTGGGATGTCAAGAACGACAAAATCTAGGATGGTGATGAGCAGACCAAGCAGCTTTAGAACCACTGGATATCTGCCGTGTTTTGACTAATTCACACATTAATTAAAATATGATTTTTTTTTTTTAAATTTTATTTACAGGTGTGATAGTTGAATCAAATCTGCTAAACTCTGAAAGAGAGGCACAGACAAGCTTGCCTGATGTTCCATATGAACCAGACCTTGATATTGAGATAGACTTTCCAAGAGGTATTTATTCTGTCATTTTAGTAAATACTGTGAAGTAGACATTATGTGTAGTCCTTGTACTTTGTTTAATTATCCCTTCAGGTGAGCTTAATTTGATTGCAAGATCCGCTTGTCTTATTCTGTTAGAGAAAGAATTTAGGCCTTTGAAAGACTGGGGATTTCTGAATGAGTTCCTCCATCTTTCATAACAAATCTTTTTAAATAGAGTACTTTAAACAGAGAAAGGAGGAATTAACCTTTGACGAAAGAACTTGGCTGCATTTGGTTTTGGACATGGATTTAAGAAGGATATTTTGAAGGCTCAAAGACTTGGATGGTATGCATCACAGAAAACAATAATGAATACATTCTTCAGTCATAAGATATTTGCATAGGAAGTGAAATGGTGATTTAGAGCAGAAATGATGAAAGGGCTAATTTCCCATTGAAGTTTGTTAGAAGGTAGCAAACTAGTATGCTGCTCTTCACTTGTGTTGTCTTGTAGTTTCTTATTAATGACCGTAATTGTATTTGAAAAAGGTAGTGATATTTGAATGGGCAGGAAAGCTACTACTTTCTGAGATCTTGGATGAAAGAAGGTCCAGGTTTTAGGTATCACAATTCCTTCCACTCTATCCAAAATGCAGGCAATGATTTTTATTTCCTTATACTGTGTCCTAAGCAATTCAAGATCAAGAGACCTCCTGGGTGCATACTGTATACCTCATTCCTTCCGTGGATAGCTCCCATATCTGCTGTAGAAAGTTGTCTTTTGCCTTGTGCCATAGATGTGACTATCCAGACTCTGTTTCTCAGTTTGTTGTATGTCTAATTTGAAGACTGAGTCTGGCAATTAGGAAGAAAGGTTGGCGTTAATTTGAATAAGTTTATTAGTAAGATGCATACTAAGTTTTTATAAGGGAGGTTTGGTATATGAGGGGAAAAAAATACTAATAAAAACAAAAATAATCAGGGTGGGATAGTAAGCAATAGCAGTTTATGACAGATATTTAATCTGTTTAATCTGGGGCAGAGTTCTTAATTTTTTGCTTGTGAGTGCTATTTTATCTATATTCTTTTTCCTCCTTGTGGTGATTAGATTCAGTAATGGTTTGAATCGTGTCTTGAATGGTAAGGTGCTGAAATCAGACTGGTTATCAGAAGAGCATTCAGCTTTGAATGAAGGCATTGCTTGATAGTTAAGTGAGAAATGAGCCTTATTCAGTAAAGTAAATAAAGTTACAGCTTGCAGCATAAAATCTATTGATATGTCTTGTCATCCCATTCTGCTATATTGCCTGACTTAAGAGTCGGCTTCCTTCCACCCCTGAAACGTTAAACAAATAGTGTTTTGAGATATTACCATATACTTACATTGCTGTAGCGTATGTCATGAGCCAGGCCTCTACCACTTGTATAAATTTAGGCTAAAACCAGTTTCTCTGAAAGAGTTTACATTCTGAATCTCAGTTTTTTCATTAAGTGTAATGTGCTGTATAGAATATAAAACAGAAATAGAAATGACAGAAATACATGAATAAAGTGCGTATGTTAAGTTAATTTGTATTTTTTCCACTCATAGCTGCTCATTTTAGCATAACGTAAACTTATTAATACCAAAGATTGCCTAGGCAGGAAAAATTAAGGAAGGGTCTGTAGTAAGAAATGCTGCCTTCGTGACCTGAGAAAGTGTTTGAAAACAGTCATTATTGCATTCTTTATAATTTATCTAGAAATAAGCATCTTGGTAATTTTGTCTTACCTGCAAGAAGAGGAATAGTTTTATTTCTTTGCACTGAAATACAGTCCTTGTTATTGTATTGACGTGGCTTTTGTAGATTCCTTGTATTAGTGAACATCCATGTAGTTCATAGCTTTTTCAAATCAGTATCATCTCAGTATCATCCAAAAGGTGTTTAAAAATTATTTTCTGTTAATATATTTTCAGCAACTGAGGAGCTTGATACAGAAAACGAGTTTTTATTGCCTCCTGTTTTTGGGGAAGAATATGAGGAACAGCCAAGACCTCGGTCCAAAAAGAAGGTAATTGTATGATGCTAATTTAAAAAAAAAAAAAAAAAAAACAGACAAAATTGTAAGTGATCAAAAACATGCCAGAGATTTTTCAGTTCTCGGTCTGCTCTAAAATGTTACTGCCTATTCATACCTATGCCCTTATCTTTTTTGATATAGTGATACACTAATTCAAGTAACAAAATTATTTCAGTCATGTCTATTGGAGTTAACTGGTGAATCAAATAGCTTAGCTTCTAAGTTCTGATCCTGGTTTTGCTGTAGATGACTCATATTGGTAGAACTGTTGATACAAGGTAATTAGTATTTCACCCTGTTTGTTATGTACTTACTCAGTATTACTCCTCCACCTTCTACTTTGAATAAAATGCAGAGGGTTTAATTTGACAGTAAAATGGAAAAGTGATGATATTGCCTTGGCTTATAGTGAGAGCTAAAGCATCTGCTGTATAAAATAGTTAAAAGACTTTTTATTTGCTTGTAACTTTTCCAGATTTTATTTTCAGTCAAAAATCTTAGTTTAAACACGGCAAATAATTTAGCTGTGCTCTTTTATTTAGAATGAAACTAACAGGAAAGAGGCTTTCTGGTGTTTGGCACAAAGCTGGAATTATTTTGTTGCAAGAACTGCAGTAGCTATCACAGCTTAAAAAAAAAAAACCCGTACTTTATAAAACTTATTAAAAATAAACATATCTTTCTAGTTTTAAATTTGGAGTCTGAACTGTCTGGTACTGTGCCTTAACTATGTTGCTGGCTATGCTTTAATTTGGGACCAAATCTGTCTCTTCTATTGAGGGGCTCAGTTGAGCCTGAAGGTTGACCTTCTGGCAAAGATTTATATGCATTGCTGTGCATTAATGAAACAAAATCCTAAAAATATACTGAATTTTTTGATGTTTTGTGTGCTTATTTATTAATATGATATGACCAATACAGCAGCTCCATTATCAAAATCTTATTTTGTCTATTTTAGAAACCAGTTTGAAAGGTGGATTAGAAATCTCAGTCGACTTAAATACAATTCTTAGAAATATGTTCAAAACAGAAACTGCCTACTGGCTTCAGCTGAACGAAGCATGTGTTCTGTACCCTGAACCTTTAGTTTGCAATTTGGCCTGCAGCTTGCTTATTCTGCCTAGTTTCTATGTTATTCCACTTAGCAGTTGTCATTAGTATTAACTACTTTGTTTCAATGGCAGGGAGTGAAGAGGAAAGCCCTGTCAGAGTATCAGTCCCAGGACGATAGTTCTGAAAACTCAGAAAGTAGTTTTCCGTTTAAATACACGTATGGTGTAAACGCATGGAAGCACTGGGTGAAGTCTCGACATGTAGATGAAGGTCTTCCAGAATTAGAGGAACTGAAATCAAGTAAGTATTTCCAAAAATCTGGCATCTGGATTTTTATTTGGTAGTGAGAATTGCTATATTTCCCTGTACTCTTCATCCTTTTAAAAACTGATTTTCAGATAGAATTTTAGTAGAAGTTTTCAAGTTTCCCTAATGCTCCCACAAGAGCTGGGATTATTTTACCACAGAAAGAGTTGCCAAACTCTTTTTCCTAAAGAAGTTTTGCCAACTTGGTTCTTACTGCTAGGTCTTATGCTTCTAGTGCAAGACAGCATAGAACCTTTCTAGGTCTTCTAACTTATCATGACCGTTTTGATTTTTGTTTGCATCCTATTTTTCCATGTGTTCTAACTTGTCTTGGACTTGGACTTTCCTGGACCTCTAGATTGCAAAGGAGGACATAACTACTTTTTGTCATGAAAAGAGAACTTCATTTGAGGCTGGCGTTACATTGCTTCGGAGCTCGGACACAATGTGGCCTTCACTCCTATGGAGTGTTGCTGTCCTTTCTGCAAGGCTCTTCCGTGTGCAGATTTACCCTGGGGAAAAGGAGGGCTCGCTACTCTTGTTCTTTAGCTCCCATATGCATTTTAGCGCAGTTGCATTACATTGTTCGATCTTTGGAAATTGCCACTTCCCCTGAAGGCCTCCCTCTAGAACGCTGTGTTCACTTGAGTATCCTGGATCAGTTCCTGCCTCTGTGTCATCCTCAGCTGTGCGTGACACTAAATTCTTCAGTAGGTGATACTGCATTTGGTTAATTAGACTTTATTCTGGTAGCCTTGTTTATTTTAATCTAGATCTAACGTTTGAACTACTTGGTACGTTTAAGCTCATTCGTTGGTTAGTGGAGAGGACATCAAACCAACTTCACCTTTTACTCCAAAAACACCCCCTCCCACCCCCAGCATGTAATAATACTGTTGTATAATGTAGCATTTTTTCTTTATTTTACAGCAAAGTCTGTGAAATTAAAGGAAGATCTATTATCACATACTTCAGCTGAGTTAAGCTATGGGTTGGCTCATTTTGTCAATGAAATTCGAAGGCCAAATGGAGAGAACTATGCACCTGACAGCATCTATTATCTGTGTCTTGGGATTCAGGAGGTTAGTAGAGGCTGTAGAGATGGGGAGTGGAGCTGATGATTTGACTCTTAATACATTTCAGTGGAAGAATGGAAATAATGCGAATATATTGGCTAAGAAGAGGCTAGGAGCTATTCTTAATATAATGGCTGTGATCTGGGACAGTCTGCTGTATAAATTACATTATAGAAACTTGTCCATATAGAAAACGAGTTTGCAAGACCCATTCTGAAGACTCAGATGGAAGCCGGTATATTGTAATAATTTTAAGCCTCTTACTTGGTGCAAGCAAGGAATTTGCAGTCTAAAGTGACACGTTTTTTCTAAATGCTGTACTTCAGTTTGGTTGCTAAAGATGGCTTAATGTAAAAGCAGAATGAAACAAGGATGAGCTGTAAAGGTTTACTAATTCAGTTACTTAGCAGACAGTGGAAGCAAGCTATTTGAAGTGCCTGCTGGGGAAACCTAATTTACCGAATTTTGAAGACTGGGAGCAGTCCATCTTATTTTCTGCAGTACAGAAAACGATGCTACTTAGAGTGTCCCATCCTCCTCCCGCCCTTTGGAATTATATTGTATAACAATATACATGTAATTGCATATTGTATGCAATTATATTATGTGCTTCTCTAAAGCAGAAGGGAGTCAGTTTAGATGTCTTGTAGCTGAAGGCAATAACATACCCTTAGGTACTTGGAAAAGCTATTCCTAAGCAGAAGATGTCTTAATTTTTGATGCGTGAGGCAGATCATAGATAAAATAAGCAATGTTCAGAACTGAAAACATTCATACAGAGAATTTCATTCAAGCTAATAGGGAATACAATGCGTCCATGATGTGGAAAACAAGCTGTTCACAATCTTTGTCATCCTCCTTGAACTGTTATAGTTAGGGCAGAGATTTTGAATTAAATAACAATAAAATAAATAATAATCTTTTAATCAAAATCTCTTTTAATAAATAGCACTTCCACTAATTTTTCTGTAATGAGATTATACAAAATTAAGGAGTTAACTGATATCTTTCCCTCATGGTTGAAATTTGGGAAGTGAGCATTCATAGTTTCACATTATAGTCAGTGTTGCTATAAAGCGTGTTTCAGTCTTGGCTAGCTTTCTGTCACTGCACCTGCATGATTTACTGTCCCTCTGTATCTTTCTGGTGAATTTAAAAAATTCATGTTTTCGCAGAGTGAACTGTGTTTCTATAAAATGCAACTCAGCTTACAGCTTTTCTCTTTTCACCTTTCTCTTCATGTCTTTGACATTGTCTATCCTGTCTGTTGGGGAAAGCTAGTTACACATCAAATTTGGGTTTTAAGCTTATCAAACCAACGTTTGTGTGACACAATAGAAATATTAGGAGTCCTAATACTTATATACCATACTGAAACATTAGAGGAACAACTTGTGGTCATGTTACTGTAACTATTACTTACATTTGGTGTCCGATATTTTAATTCAGGTGACATTAACAGCCCATGTGGTCTGTTATGGCACAGTTGCGCCAGTGCTATTCAGACTCATAGGAAGATTTCACAAAGGCAGACAACAGAGTGAGGGACTGAAACGTGCAGGCATGGGAGCAGGCAAAGGTTGCAGCCAACACCTGTGTGCTAAAGGGAAATTGTATGTATATGCACACGTGTTAGGGAAATACTCTTAGTGATCTTTCACCTTCTGAAGAAAGAGATTTAAACTTTCTTTAAGCTTAGTTGTATGCTAAATGCTACTTAGTTGTCTCAGCGTGCAACAAAACTCCATTACTTTATCGTTTTCTTACCCCTTCTTTCCATCTATGTGGGTACTTCTGAAATAGAGAAAAACTTAATACATTAAATCTTTACTATACAAGAGGTATTGGCTCTATTTAAATTGGAAGAGTTGCACAGAAAATTAAATAGTGCCAGATAGGGATAAAGTTATGCTAAAGATCAGCAATATTTTATTAACTTAGAGTAAAACTCAATAATGTGTACTTCAGAAGAAGAGCGCAACAAAGGCATGGGGTAGAAAAAGAACATTTTCCCCTGCAGAAGAATTACTGCACTCACTCTGGCTGAGTACTGGCTCAAGGTTGGACCTTTTCCAGATGAGTGTATTGTGGTTTCAGCACAGTTGAAATGCTTAAGAGTCTTCAAGTCTTAATTTATTTTTCTGACTTTGCACTTGAAATAATTGAATGTTTTTCTTGAGGGAAACACTTGGAAAATCTGTTCCAGCAAACTAGTCCCTGAGTCAAACCAATATTTTTTCAGCTCAGGTTCATTTGCAACTGAAGTTGTTCTCCCTCAGGCCAGAAACGGCTCATTAATAGTTTTGATAACTCTGAAGCATTACTTTTCAAAACGTAACACTTTAAAGTAAGAGTTGTCACATGATAGGGTGGACATCTGACAGAAGGGTTCATCCAGATAGAGGGAAGGTGTTCACCTGCCTTGCTCCTCTGCTGTATAGTGGCCTTCACTCTTTGCCCCAGTACAGATTTTTTTTTTTTTTAATGTCGCATGTGGGAGTGATGGGGGAAAGTCTGCAGTATTTACTGCAGCAGGAGTAGAAATGGTCTCAGTACACTGCTAGAGAGGGAGTTAAAGTCCATTTAGTTGGTCACCTTTTCTCATGTCCTGATAAATCTATGCCTACATATACTCAGGAAAATCGTAATGAAACAACAGCGCATAATTTAATAAGAAATCTGATAGTGGGGTGCTTTGGGGGAAATTCAGGCTGATAGAGCTTGGCAGATTCTTGTCTGAAAAGCGTTGTGGGCAGTAACTCACGCTGTTCTCCACTGTGGGACTCAGCGGCATGTCCAGCTCCTTCCTATTAGGTATGGTTTAGTTAGATCTCGTCTTAAGTGAAACTTCTTGTGCTGCTCCTGCACCCCTCTAGAATTTGTAGAGGTTGTGGTATAGAAATGAAGCTTGGTTGATGCATGTCTGGTTAGTGCAGGAGTAGGAGAGACTGCAACATGTCCATATTCTGTAGACCCTGCAGTGCTAACGGTCCCAGTACTTCACAGATTTCTGCTAGGGGTGTCAGGGTTGGGCCGAACGCTTATTCTGAACCAGGAAATAAAAATATTTTTGGTCCAGTTCTCAGTTGCGCGGTGGGGTTGGTTTTGAATTGGTTTTCAAACTGTTTTCAGTTTCACTCCTAGTATTCAGTAGTGACCCATGTGAGTGTTTAATACAAAACAGAGAAAAAGAAAATTCACTGTGGAAAAATGTGTAAGGGAACATATGGTAAAACCCTGTGAAGCTTATAGTAAGTCGTATTGTCTGGTTTAGAGTTGCATTATAAAGTCAAAATTGCTGTATGCAGAGATAAGGAAGTCAAGATACGCTGAACTGCTTAGTATAAACGAGTGCTATGTTTAATGTTATTTCAAGTATGTGTACAGAAATAGATGCTATTTCCAGAAGTGAGTACATTTTTTCTGTCTATCAGTTTTATTGCATTCACTAGCAACGGGCTTGTTCACACAAAGATAACATTGAAGTGGAAATTTTAAGTAGCCAATCCTCCGTTTCTTAGAAATGTCTCCAGAGAGGATAATGTCAAATACTGCTATAGCCTTTGGTCATTAATTCTTGGTAAAGGTTCAAAAGAGTTTCTTGTCTGCGAGGTCAAGAGGGTTAAGATAATTAGATTGCAGAATAGAACGGTGCAAGGTGCCTTCCTATTATTTTTCTTGCACTGCCGCATGTTATTTCCACAAACATATGGGAGCTTTTTTGCTCTGATTTCTACGTTGAAGATGCTTGTGGCAGTGTCCAGAGTCCACATTTAAAATGTCAGTTTCTTGCTAAATGGTTTTTCTACTTTGAAGACCTAATGGGAGCAAAAGATACATTAGTATTTTTTCAGTGGTGTCCTATTCACTAATACAATGTTGGATGCAACAGAATTTTAGAGAGAAGTATAATGAGTATGGGGTTGTAATTAATGTGCTTCATATCCAATTAGAAATTTACAACATACATTGTATTGCAAGTAACTTTTAACTGCAAATTATTGGAAAAGTTTCCTTGTTTTATTTTTGGATGCTATTTTTATATGAGTGCAATCATTGTGCTAGAAAAGAACCTTGTAGAACAGAGTTTGTTTTAGTTTGACATTGTAATTATTCTCTGTCCCTCTCTTCTTTGTAGTATTTATATGGAAGTAATCGAAAAGACAACATATTTATTGATCCAATCTACCAGACGTTTGAACAGGAATTAAATAAAATTCTTAGAAGTTGGCAACCAAGCATACTTCCAGATGGTAATTTTATTTTGGTCATGTATGTTCTTCATCTCTTAATAGTTCTATACTCTTAAGCATGCAGATAGAAACAAACACTTTATACATTGCGACAGTGACTGATGAAAAATCAAAAACATCTCCTGTAAGAGTGACTAAGACTGTACCTGTTCTTATTGTCTCGTTTCTCAGTAATCCATGTTGCAAGAGCTGATTTTTTAACTACCTTTTAATTTTAAATCATCCATTTTCAGAAGAGAAAGTTAGAATAAGCAGCTGGTCTTTGACCTTTTCTTTTTACCTGAGCTGAATTCGTTTTTCCCCACATGGGTTCTCAAATGGGAAATAGGCAGGGCTGGGTGGGCTATGTGTGGGAAGAGCTAATGAACGGGTGCATTAAGCCCCTCTTAGCTGGAGTAGGAGACTTCTCTGCTCTAAGTCTTTTGCTCAGAAGGAACTTCAATTCACAGAGAAAACAGAAGTACAGTCTTCTAGGAGATTTCTCCCAGGAGATCAGTACTGGTACCAAGCTGAAGAATCCGTTATTCTTCCATCTGTGTCACAACCTTCTTGGGAGTGAGGGATCCTCCTTACTCACCCTTTTCATCTGCCTCCTTGATATGGTCTTGTCTCTTTGAAGCTTCAGAGGGCCACTGTGCATGGCTGTCCCTAAACCCCGATAAGGCCTACAGTCCTTTCCAAGTGAGATTTCCTTGGCAGTGAGAAAGGGGGAGGAGTAGCTATTTGGAAGCCTTGCATGAGCAGAATAAAACAAACTCATAAACATATTTTTTATGAAGGGACTAAGACTCGACACGTGGTTTTGTGTAGTAACATAGTGGGTGAGCCACATATAAGAAGTGCTACTGAACTAATTAAATAGAAACATGCTCGGTGTGGAATTGCATGTGCCAACATTTCCCATTGACTTTCTCTTCCTTGAACAGCAGGTGTCTGTGTCTTTAAGACTTGGTTTTGAAGATATGGGCATACAGTTAAGCGTGCCTGTTAGAGGCTCCTGTCTTGAACATTTCATTAAGTCAAAAGAAACTTGATTCTTTTATGTGCGGACAGTTTATGAGCTAATCCATTATATTTTCTCTAATATACTTTTTTTTGAAGGGTCGATATTCTCTCGAGTTGAAGAAGATTATCTTTGGAGGATTAAACAACTAGGATCGCACTCACCAGTCGCTCTTCTGAATACTCTGTTCTACTTTAACACTAAGTATTTTGGCCTGAAAACAGTGGAGCAGCACTTAAGACTTTCTTTTGGCACTGTTTTTAGACAGTGGAAAAAAAATCCTCTAACAATGGAAAGCAAAGCTTGTCTTCGATACCAAGTGTCTTCCCTGTGCAGAGCTGATAATGAAGGTACTATGACAGTTCCAAAATAAGTATTGCAGGAGCATCCACGTTTCACTCAGCTGAGGGACGCTTGGGCCTCTTGCCAGGAGCCTTAGGTCTATATTTGCATGAAGTGTAGCAGCTTTCAGCTACTGGGTCTGTCATAGGAGTGTATGGTCTGTGGAGACTACAAGGTCTCTGCGTTAATTGTTCCCTTTGAGCCCACTGGTCTCCATGCCAAATGATGGCACTTCGTTGTGGCTATGGGTTACGTTTCCATTTACAGATGTACATAGCCATGGGGACTGCATTGCAGTGCCTAGTGGGTTGTGCCTTAGTCACCCCAGTCTGGGATGTTTGCTGAAAAATGTAACGTAACATCAAGTTATGGCTTAGAGGTTGTTGGTTTTCTTTTTAAAGATAAAATTACTACTGGAAAAAGGAAACATGAAGATGACGAACCAATATTTGAACAAATTGAAAACACGTCGGATCCAGCTAGATGCCCTGTGAAAATGTTCGAGTGCTACCTGTCTAAAAGGTAAGTATTAGATGGGGTAACACAGAAGTGTTCTAGAGTAGACTTGGTATAAAAGGGGAATGTTTTGGTGCAAGATGAAATAATGCTCAAGCAAAGTGAATGAATTGAGATCGTCTGAAAAAAATATCTATATGAAAAGCCTGAAATGTCCAATTCTGTATCTGGGCAACACATGCGGAAAGTGTGTGAGCAGCAGAGTACTTTACTTCAATGTTAACGGTCAAGGACTTCCTCTGGGAATGGTGGTGTGATTCCGTTTTCTTACCTAGGAACACCAAGTATCTCTGTAGAGAATTACCAGCAAGGGATCTGGTAGGTTTTGCTGTTGAGGGTGTCTGTTGTGAGGGCCCTGTCTGCTCAGTAAGAATTTGATTGAGACAGTGGACCTGCTTCATTTTAACTCTTCAGGAATTTGAAACTTAAATATTTTTGATATACCTAATTTGAAAGTATGCTCACAATATTTTTGTTGTAGGAAAAAAATTAGGACAGTAACCCAGCGTTTAGCAATGGTTTTCTTCCTTCCGATCTGCTCAGAAATTAATGCATTAAAAAGAAAAGCTTAGGGAAATCTGAAAAAAATCAGTCCAGCAGTGAAGTGTTTTGGAAGTGTTTGAAAACAGGATTTTATGGGAAGTATGTATATTTTTTTAATTAGACCATCCATTAGAGCGACTGATCTAATGAAGATTTTTTTGTAACTGTAAATGGAATATAGGCAAATGGTACAACAGAAGAAAAATCACATCATATATATGGTACCGTAAATCAAATGAAGTAAGAACCTCGACACGTACTGGGGAACAGCATCTTCCTCTTAAAAGTGAAGAAAGAGTTTACATATAATGTAGGCAGAAGCCCAAATAAATATGATTTTACAAAGAGGAATAAGTAAAAAGTAACTTGTGGCATTCTGTCAACGCAAGCAGCTGTTTTTCAGAAATTTATTTAATTCTGGTTGTACCAAATATTTTTTTGCCTTTACACTGACCCCTTCCTCAGTGTGAAGGGGGTATATTATTACAATGTTGAAGCGGGATTTTTGAACTGCTGCTACACAGCCGGTAGGGGGAGAACAAATCACTTTTTTGTTGAGAAACATCTCAGCTTTAGGAGGGGAGGGAAAGCAGTTAAACCCCTTTGGGGCATCGTTTACGGTGTAGTTTCAAGTTCCACTTTCTCATAACTGTTGCTCACTGTTGCTGACTAGAGTACCAGACTGGTTCCGCTTCTGATAACATAAACCTTGCATCTGTGAAGAAGTAAGTTTTATAAAAACGTTTAACACTTTAAAAACTATTGTAGTTGAACTATTGTAAAATTGATGGTAATACCTGTTGTTTGACATATGCTTTGCAATCAGTGGACGTTTAAAGCTGAAGTTTAGGGGATCCTCTGAATCACAGCTGTGGGAAATGTTTTCTTGCTTTTCCCGACACAAAGAGTGGCTCAAGAAAAAATAGGAAGGAGTTTAAAATGAAGTATGAAGATATTTTAAACTGTCATAGTTTAGCTTCTAATCTGAGTCTTAATCTGATTTATGTGAGAACAGAAAAAGCCAACATTCACCCCAGCAGGTGAAGATCAACACCTAAAATTTTATCCACCAGTTTCTAAAGATGAGCTTGATATGTTCACCAAAGACACATGAAGTACAGCTGGCTCCTGAAGTCGGCAATATTTGGGAAGGGGAGAGCAGCATGAGTGAGCACTTGTAAATGCAGAGCTGAAAATTATTTTCTGAGACTTGCCTAAATGGACAAAATGTTAGAATTTCCTTAAGAGTCTTCTCTGGTGGCTTAGAGGATATATCTGATTTGGATCAAGCATGTATATGAAATCCAAACTGTAGTAGATCACGAATTAAGGGATTTTAAGACTGCTAGTGACCAAGCCTTTGAGGAAACTAGAGAGGAGGAGGAGGAGGAGGGGTTTTAGCTTTCTGTTGTATTTCTGTGCATCTCTCAAAAATACAGTCCTTCCTTTTCAAGGGAACACCAGGCTCTGTATTCAAAAACAGTCGCATCACACAGCGGTAAGAGCAATTACTTACCTCACTGTTGAGGCCTGTTTTCAAATCACAGAGAAACTGTTGATCAAGGTTCCTAAATACATGGAAAGTACTTTCTAATTTAGCGAGTCCTGGAGCTGCTAATTTCTGCGAGCTGGGAAAGCG